TTGGACTTTTAGCCTCCAGAACTGTGAGAAAATCAATTTCTGTTGTTTAAGCCATCCAGTCTGTGGTATTATGTTATGGCAGCCCTAGCAAACTAATACACCCTCTGACCCATGATTATAGATGAGGTCTCTAATGAGGTTCTCATGTCACCAAACAGACTATATCCCAGAGAGTTACTTAGCTATGGAACCATGCTTCCTAAATTCTGGATTTATTTAGCATAATTAATCCTGTGGCCAGGGATGATGCCGAAAGCTCAGCTTCTCTGTACACTGGTGCCAAATCAAATATCGGAGACAGAGTTTTGGGTGAAGTAGAAAAGGATAGCTGTATTATTTTGCCAGGCAAAGGGGGACACAGTGGGCTCCTGCCCCCAAAAATTATGTGTCCCAACCCAGGAGGATTTGATAAGGAGTTTTATAACAATGCTTCCCAAGGGTGGGGTTGCTGGGAGCCCCTATGGGGCTCCCAGGCATGGAGGCCTTTTTGTCCCCCATTTCTTGTAGGCAAGACTCCAGCCTCCATGATCTTCCCTGAGTTCCAAAGGGCAGATTCGAACAGTTGCTAATCAAGGGAGGAGCAGCTAGGAAACCACTTGAGGTGAGATTAAAGGGACCAGAGAAGCTCATCTAGATGAGCTTCTGAGACCCTGTACACACCCTGTACACACCCTAATCTTGTCAGCAACGGCACCCTTTTGAAACTCTGCAGAAGAAAGAAGAATGCAGGACTGTTACTGTGTTGATCCTTATCACATACCCCTGACCAGGAGCCCCGACTATAAGACCTCTCCCTATTCCCAAGGGAGTGGGGCACAGATCTTGAGGCACTAGCCTACTGTGTTCCCTCATTGTCTGGCAAAGAAACAAAGCCACTCTTTCTTTTCCTCCATAACTCTGTCTCCATATTTCTGTTCGACACCGTTGCACAGAGAGCCAAGATTTTGGCATCAGGAGTAGTCCCCCGTATATAATTCCATAAGGGCTCAATCCTAGCCCGCTTCTAGGGGCCACCAGCATACAGAGAGCAATTGGCAAGAACTTGTCCCATTTTAGATGTGTTTTCTGGCATAGCTTTTTTAGGGGAACCACTAACAAAGCTAACCACCTGCCCTGGTCAGGCAAGATAGTAGCCACTTGCATGAGTTATCTTACAAAAGGAGGTCCTGGGAAGGAATGTGGAACTAATAAGCTACCACCAACCAGAAGAATTTGGGAAAGTTCAAAAGGAGAGAGGAGTCGCCAGTCCATATGTCCTACCAACCTCCCAGAATCCTTCTTGCTGGAATCCATCTTGGCTGAGTGATGGATGCGCCACCAGAAAGGCCCCTGAGTCAGAATGATTGGTCAGAGACAACCTGGAAACTAATCCCATCACCATAAAACCCGAGACTGAGAGCCTCGTGGCAGAGCAGTTCTCCTGGGTTCCCTTACCCTGCTGCTCTCTGCCCTTCCCAATAAAGTCTCTTGCTTTGTCAGCACGTGTCTCCTCGGACAATTCATTTTTAAGTGTTAGACAAGAGCCCACTCCCGGGCCCTGGAAGGGGTCCCCCTTCCTGCAAAAAATGGCCACTCTGGCAGGATCTCTTCTTCTCTACGACTGACATCCTGACCACTCGGAGTACTCAGGGACCAGTTTGCCTGCTGACGGACCAGACTCAGAGGCCGCAACCAGGACCGTTTTATCCTTGGTCTCTTCCTGACTCAGACGACTGGCCAGAGACCCCCAACAAGGAACTCTGGGTAAGGAACTTTATTGACCTCTTTCCCCTTCCCTCTCCCTTTCCTCTTTTCAACCCCTCCTATCCTACCCTTTTTTCTTCTGTCCTGGTCCTGGACGCAAGAGTCTGGTTGAAGGGCCTCAGCCTGACCTGAGGGATGGAGCCTGATCACCTCTGGTGGGCAGAGAACTCGAATTCTGGTCTGGTATCTGGTTTCTAGTTTCTAATAGGGCTGAGTTCCCATCCTCCCTTCCTAGAAGACTGGGGGAAAGTCCCGTAACACCTGGGCATCTGCAGGTGACAGGTGCCTTTGATGTGCACCTTAGCTATCTGGGGCCAGGATCCTGTTTTTCTCCATCCCGAGTCCCCTCACAGCTCACAGCTGCAGTAGCTGATGGCCTGATGGCTGCGATACCCTTTGTTTACTGATGTGGCAAGTGATATTCTGGTATTCCTCATCCACACATCCATGCACTTGCCCCTTTTTACTTATCTTCCTTCACTGAGTTGAAAACTCATGGAAGGTAAGACTTGTACTTTAAATGCTGAGTCACTCCTGGAATACCACAGTACCTTTGCACAGAGTAGATGTTTATCAATTCCAGCCAGGCCCTTTGTAGTTTACATTTGATCATTCTATCCTCTGTTTGAATATTATTGACTTCGGCTTTCACTCACAATATGCTCAATAAAATTCCTTCAGTATAAGTTATTCGTTGTCCAAGGTTCAAACGTAGCCTTTTCTACACTGGAAAATCACCCAACCTAATCATTATGAGAAGCTATTCTACCCTGTACTGCATTTCTGCAGCAAGCGTACACCCATGTGTTTCATTTGTAGAGTCTGCCTTCATTGGGGGTTTAGAATTTTAAAGTTGGTTGCTTAGATGATATATTTAAATTTCCCATGACACCTACCTACTATCTCCTTTTCAGAGCCTCAGGTTTAGGAAGACTCGTAAAATCAGTCTTCCAGATATAACTCTGGTCGTTGGTGAAATTATGAATCTATGATAATTACCTTGGCCTTCTCCCACCATCCGTACTACCCACTCTTCTTCACACTTGGGACTTATTTGCCAGCCCAAAGTGCTTTCTACCTGCCCGCAACAAGATCTTGGGTGTCTCTACCAAGGTGAAAACTGGAATTTAGGCATCAACATAGAAAGCCTTCAAGTGTGTGATGAACGTCCCTTCCCCTCAGGGATACTGATTTCATCACAGGACCCTCTAAACATCGGAGTCTTAAAGACCCAGAGGGTTGAAGTTAGAACAATAGAATAACTGAGAAGTAGAGTTTTTTGTAGACAGCGACCCTGTTCTGTGCCCACACCACCGATTGTATGGCTGTTTACACCATCTGCATGAAAATATTTTAACTCTGTGTTAACAAACCACAGTGACTTATAATTGTATGACTATTCAACTTTATTAAAAACACTCTAGAAACATTTAACAAAAGTGGGTTTATTTCCATATAATGCTTATTACAGTTTTCTTGCTTCAGTTTTATCTAAAGCCAGGCCAATATCTCACTCTAAGTCACTTTATTAGTAATGCATGCTCTTTAGATATGAAGTCCTTTTGGGCAACATGCAATATTCAGTTATCTATTGGCAATGCACTTCTAGGAAAGTTATGACATTTGGTAAGAGTAAACTTCAACCCCGTGACCCTATACCGAGGTGGGGTGGGGGAGGGAGAATAGACACAAACCACAAAAACATTACCAGTCAAGCACATTATAGCTAACATCCATTCACTTTAAAATAGCATTGTATATGGATTCAGGAAGAGTTTCAAAATATTTGTAGATCAAAAGGAAAGGGTCAAAGACTGGCATGAATGTGGAACACATTATTAGCTAAAAGGGCAGCTCTAATTCATTATCTCTGCTTCTAGCTATAGGGGGTAATCAATACAAGATACAAGTAAACACATAGTTAAAAAGCCTTCGTGGAAATTCAAACTGTAACAGAAATTAAGGGCTCATTACTTCTAAGGGAATTCATTATGTAATATTTGTTAGATGGACATCTCTGTAGTGCATTTTAAATATGATTCAACGTCAAGGTAAACGCATATTCCAATGATTCTTTGCTTAAAGTAAACCAATTTGGGGTACTGTCATCAGAACTTATGGCACATTCTCATGAGTATCTTTTTGGTGGCAAATTTAATCCTTTGAGAATTGATTTTTGGGGAGGTATAGGCAAAAGTCAAGTGGCACAGCTGCTCTGTGAATATTGATTAAATATGGTAATCAAAGAAGTCACATAATTTTTTTTAAAATATACAGACTTTTTTTTTATTTTTTGGCTGCGCTATGCAGCTTGCAGGATCTTAGTTCCGTGACCAAGGGATTGAATCCGGGCCGTGGCAGTGAAAGCACCGAGTCCTAACCACTGGACCACCAGGCAATTCCCATATAATTTTTTATTTTTTAAAAAGATTAAGCAATTTTATTATATGTCTCCTAAGTGAAATACCCTTATATTTTGTATACATTAGTTTGGGTTTACAGCTCCTTAAACATGCCATGTCAGTGTGTGTATAGTATACTAGGGTAATTTCTAAGCTGATAGAAAAGTGGGTGATTATATCCGTACTGTATGGACCTATACTCACTGCAGGCCAAAGTCAACAAAGCTCTGCTGTAATGTAAGAGATGCAAAGGAAAAGAGTCAATCTGATAATCCAGATCTGGTAAGCCCAATTCTGGATCACAGGAAAATTCTATTTCCAAAAATATAAGCCATTAGAAGTCAAGATTTAATTATAGCATTATCCTTATAAAAAAAGGAGTCGTCAATTATTTTTGAGAATTGTGAATACTTCTGCTATCTTAAAGCTATCTGGAATTACTAAAAAATATCTATACTTTATCCATGAATATTGACCCACTGGATCAAAGTGTTACTTCCCAGTCTAGACTTTACAAGTATTTCTAGTACCTTGATCCAGGCAAGTGCCCCCTATTCTTTCCTTGGCCCCATCATAATCACTGCATCCTGTTCTCTGAAACGTTGTAAAGAATGAGGAACCCAGGGCTCCCCTGGTGGCGCAGTGGTTGAGAGTCCGCCTGCCAATGCAGGGGACGTGGGTTCGTGCCCCGGTCCGGGAAGATCCCACATGCCGCGGAGCGGCTGGGCCCGTGAGCCATGGCCGCTGAGCCTGCGCGTCCAGAGCCTGTGCTCCGCAATGGGAGAGGCCACAACAGTGAGAGGCCTGCGTACCAAAAAAATAATAATAATAAATAAAAGAATGAGGAACCCAGACCCTCAGGGGTTCCTGAATGTTGCTATTAGAGCCGCCAATACTCTTTGCAAATGACTTCTCTGATGGGAACAATTATTTCCAACCTGTATCAAGAAGGGAACTCTCTTTTAGGTGCCTAGGAAAGAGTGATAAAGGTTGCTGGGTATATTAGTCAAGGTCACTTGGGAAGACTGTTTTGTGGTTTCTTCTGAGCTCCTGAGTCATCCCACATTACTGATGTACCTGTAGTATGATTAGCAATGTAACCAATAAAAAATTTTTTTAATACAACATGTAGAACCATCAAATCTAAAGTCCCTCATCATGACAATACCAGCTCAGCTATAAGTCTTCCCCAAAGTGGAGCTGGTCTATTCATACTTTTACTTAGTTTCAAAGAGCAGGAAGCCTGCAAAGGTGGAGAAGCGCTGGTGGTCCCCGTGAAGAGCGCCATTGCCCATTCTCAGCCAAACCTCATCCCCTTTGGCCAGTTTCAGCACTGCATGGTTGCTGGATGTATCTGATTTCCCCTTTGTTTCATAACTAGAAAGAAAAAAAGGCACCAACTACTTAGTCTTTGCAGTAAACAGCCAGCTCTTTACCAAAATCCGTCCTCCCTTCTCTTCCGGAGTCTCATACAATTACGTATAGTCCTGGGATTAAATTCTCTAAATGCCATGTGAACAGAAATGACATGTGCCACTTATATATAGGATTCACCAATACAGCTCTCACAAACAGCCCCCCTGCTCCTTCCTCATTATGACTGTGTGGAATGCTAATGACAATGACCAGCGTGACCTTGGAAGCCATCTGTTGAAGCCCGAGTGTTTGAAGACAGTGCCATGAGAAGAAAAGGAATTTCTATCATGTTCAAGCCCTTGGACCAATGTTATAGCAGTTCAGTCCACCTTAACTAATTTAGAATTTGGTTCTAAAGAAGGGTGCTGCCATAACGCAAACTAAAACATGTTTCATCGGCTCATGGTCAGGCAGAGAGCGGTGAGGAAACAGATATTGTGGGCTTGAAAGCTGGAGATCCCTGTCGTGCTAGAGCAAAACATTTAGGAAAACGTGATGACTTGGAATAGAACGCCTGATGCATAAAAATGTCCACAAGCTTGTTGTTCTTTCCTCCTTCTGACTGTGGCAATGACAATGATGTGAGAATTTGGGAGTCAGTTTTATAGATGGCAGAAATGCTTTCACCAGCCCACATCCCTCAAAAACCTGGTGGAGCAACCCTCCTTCCAAACTCCACACAATTCCCTCCTCCACCCTTTCCACCCCATCCTTCCCCAACCTGAAACCAGGCAAGAAAAATGGAGTTCTAGTGTGTTCGAGCCACAATATTCTGGATCTCTTTGTTGCAGCATTTCACCTACCTAACTCATCTTTTTCTCTTTTGGCTTTTCAAAGCCTCTTACTAGAGGCCAGGGTCCAAAAGAGAAAAATATGGCAATCCCCACAAGTCATCAAAAATAACTGAGAAAAGATAACAACCACGAAGTTTTTCACAGTTTCACAATACCCATTTATTTAATTATGGGAAAGGTGTTGGCCTCTCTTCCCTACATCTTAAGCTTATATCAGAGCAAATTGCAATATTTCTTTTTTAAATGAACTTTTTTCCAAGGTGCCTAAGGGCCAGGTTGCTAAGGTAAACATCAGAGCTACAACACTGCCTAAAGAAGGAAACCAACTCGCAACTCTTGAACTGCAAGCTCCAGGGATGATAGAGAAGGCCATCAAAAGGGCTAAACTCTAGGCAAAGGGGGCGGAGAGTAGGAAAGGAGAAGAAAAGGCTGAGAGGGAAGGAAAGAAAGAATGAGTTGAGAAAAGAATACAAATGACTAGTTATGGGGAGTGTTGCTAGTAATTAGTTCAAGACCTCTTATCAACCTGCTTATGATCAAGTTTATCAGATTCACTGCTTCCCAAACAGTAATGATAATCTGGCCATATATTGTACATGGGAGGTCTCAACGACAACAGGGTTTATGCCAGTCTCTGCTGATTCCTATATACCCGCTGGCATTGGCCATCCTTTGAGCGAACAATGGCACCATGGATACCTATGATAGAAAAGGCCACTCACCTGTACATGCTGAAGACCGTGTTGCCATTGTGCATGAGGTACACATACACTTCCTCAACGTCCTCATGCTTCATCATGCTGAAGGTGAAGAAATACACACCTGAAAGAGGCCAAAATTTATCCACATTTATATTAACTATTGTACATTGAGGACTGGGAGATAGTGGGGAGATATGTCACATGACTTCACACTTCTTTTGTTGCTATCCTATGTGGTATGTAGGTTCTTCTTGGCCTTTATTTCTATGAGTGTCCCTTTACCTGCTCTCACCTTCAAACTGCTTTACATATTATTGAGACTTCCTCAGTGTGTAGACCATGTTTCCCTAACAAGAATACAAAGTCTTTAAAGCAGGATTTGGCTGTATCTCATGGCCTCTCCTTGCCCCTTACAAAGTGCAAAGTATGTAAACCCATCCCTAGGTTTAGATTAACCATCATTCACACCTTCTTCAGGACACATATGGACAAAGTAGAGAGCCCTGCATGGAGGCACCCGTGGTCTTCTGTGGCCTAACAAAATGACCCAACAGCTTCCCTGGTGGCGCAATGGTTGGGGGTCCGCCTGCCGATGGGGGGGACGCGGGTTCGTGCCCCGGTCCGGGAGGATCCCGCGTGCCGCGGAGCGGCTGGGCCCGTGGGCCGTGGCCGCTGGGCCTGCACGTCCGGAGCCTGTGCTCCACGGCGGGAGAGGCCACAACAGTGAGAGGCCCGCGTACCGCACAAAAAAAAAAAAAAAAAAAAATGACCCAAGTGCAACGTTGTCATTAGCCAAAGATAAGAAAGTACTGTAGCACCGTGAAGTGTTCATCAATTCTAACAGCTCCAGCAATTTCTCATGTTATTCATTGTAAGCAGGTGAAATTATGTACAATAAATAAAAAGATTCAACTTTGACTCAGCAGCATGACCTTGCTACTAAAAATATGAATCCTTTTCATTAAAATAACACCAACATATTTTAAAATATGTTAGTTTTCTTGTAAGAGTCTAGGGCTCCTAATTGAAAGTAACTTAATATACCTGATACACTTTAAATGCCAGTGTAGAAAATACCTTCACTGAAAGATTAAGAAGAATCCAACAGTAGAGAGATGAGCGAAAAGGAAAATCTTCCTAACTCTAAACGGTCTTGGTTTTGAGAGTGCATTTGGGAAAGATGAATGAATATAAATCATCAACCTCTTTTTGATTTCCATGCTACATTTTTAAACTAATGGCCTTGTCTTAATCCATTTGAGCTGCTATAACAAAATACAACAGATTGAGTAGCTCATAAATAACAAAAATTTATTTCTCACGGCTCTGGAGACTGGAATTCCAAGACGCGGTGAGGGCCCTCTTCCAGGTCACAGACTTCTGGTTGTGTCCTCACATGGCAGAATGGGCTAGGGAGCTCTGTGGGACCTCTTCTATGAGGGCACTAATCCCATTCATGGGAGTTCATGTGATCTAATCACCTAATTCCATCACTTTGGGCATCAGGCTTTCAACATGTGAGTTTCAGGGGGACACAGTCAGACCATAGTAGACTTTGTAAAAGAAAAACCCAGAAACATCTAAAAAAAAAAGAAGCACATAGTTCTATGCTGTTTTCCAAAGGTGCAATCAAGTAAAATAGAAGCTCTAAGGCTACCATGTTGATCCATCTGCCTCTGAGTCAAGTTGAACCAAATAAAGATGTATGATTCGGCTTCCCTGGTGGCGCAGTGGTTGAGAGTCCGCCTGCCGATGCAGGGGACACGGGTTCGTGCCCCGGTCCGGGAAGATCCCACATGCCGCGGAGCGGCTGGGCCCGTGAGCCATGGCCACTGAGCCTGCGCATTCGGAGCCTGTGCTCCGCAACGGGAGAGGCCACAACGGTGAGAGGCCCGCGTACCGCAAAAAAAAAAAAAAAATGATGTATGATTATGCTTAATTTATTGCCAGGCTTGCATATTCAATGTGCTGAGAATAAAACATACGATATAAAAATAAGTCATGTTCATTCATATGCCTAAAGATTGGTCCACAGATGAAAAGTAAAGGCAGATAGAAATTAAAGACTCAAAGAAAGTAATTTATATGTGTGCAGTTTTTCACATTTTACAAAACTTCTTATTACATGCACACACAACAATTTTCAATGCCTCAAGAAGATTAAGTGGGAATCAAAATGACAGAAAAAGGGACTTTCCTGGTGGCGCAGTGGTGAAGAATCAACCTGCTAATGCAGGGGACACAGGTTCGAGCCCTGGTCCAGGAATGATCCCACATGCCACAGAGCAACTAAGCCACAACTACTGAAGCCTGCCCGCCTAGAGCCCATGGTCCGCAAGAAGGGTAGCCACCACAATGAGAAGCCCACATGCCGCAACTAGAGAAAGCCTGTGTACAGCAATGAAGACCCAATGCAGCCAAAAATAAAATATAATAATAATAACAACAAAATGACAGAAAAAGATATTACTTTTCCTGGAAAAAATGATGACTATTATAAAAAATAGTTGCAGAAGCATTTTAGAAAGACTAAGAAACCAAATGGTGAATAACTGAAATGACTATAGAGTTGGAAATATAATACAAAAGTGAATCTATATTATATCCACACATGGTTTTGCTCTGCAAGGGAAGGTACTAAAACCAGAGGTAATACATTTGAACTCTGTTTTTCAGGTCTTTGTGCTGCATAATTGTAAAATTCAGCCTTCTCTGTCCCATCACTCTCAGAGTTAAGAAGTATGAAAAGGTAATTTTATAATCTATTGGATGAGGTTTAAACAGTAAAGTGGGAGTCAAATGATGGTTGTTATTGTCTGAATTATGTCCAGCTCAAGAGAATTCTAAAAAACAACTAAATCCTTGAGCTTCAATTATAAAGTCATTGAAAGCAATGGAAGCATTCATTGGGCATATCTACGCACCTATATAATTTGTGGCACAGACAGTGTTTAACAAAATAGTTATAGGAAAATTATAACATAAGCCTTCAGAGCAGAAAATCACATAAGAAGATTTAAAGCTGATTGAAGCATGATGAAAGATTGCTTCTATCACTTCGTATGTCAGTTCATTTCTGACTTCAGCTGGGTAGAAAAATAAATCAAGGCACACATTAAAAGCATTTGTGACAGGACTTCCCTGGTGGCACAGTGGTTAAGAATCTGCCTGCCAATGCAGGGGACACGGATTTGAGCCCTGGTCTGGGAAGATCCCACATGACGCGGAGCAGCTAAGTCCATGTGCCACAACTACTGAGCCTGTGCTCTAGAGCCCACAAGCCACAACTGCTGAGCCCACGTGCCACAGCCACTGAAACCTGCACACCTAGAGCCCGTGATCTGCAGCAAAGAGAAGCCACCGCAATGAGAAGCCCGTGCACTGCAATGAAGAGTAGCCCCCGCTCGCCGCAACTAGAGAAAGCCCGCACGCAGCAACGAAGACCCAACACAATGAATAAATTTGAAAAAAAGAAAGCATTTGTGACAAATCTAACATGGCCATTGCACCCATCTGAATTTTCTTTTTTTTTTCCTTCTCAATACCATATACAGAGACAAGGAAAATTGACAACAAACACCAAAAAAGTATCCATTCTCTGCAAAACTAGGAGACTGAAAAAAAAATCAATAAACTTAAAATATCAGTTAAGTGCTGTCACATGTCACTGACCGCAGGCAGAGTCATGGGGAGTCAACATGGAGGGCAAGGAGTTTTGAGGAAGCCAAGTGGCAGCAGATCTCAAATGGTGCCCAGAAAAATGCACTCCCTGATGCAGAAGGGCCACTCTGAAATACAGATGCTGAAAAGAAGCTCCTGTGAGCAGGGCTGAGATAAAGCAAAAGTTATGTTTGGGGAGAAGGTTGCTAGATAAAGTTCAGAAAGTGTGGAAAGCCATCCTGCGGTGGCGGATCTCAGAATCTGCCAGCAAATATAAGGCTCCTAAAGGCAAAGGAACCAGCAAGTGCAAGGCTGGTTTTAGAAGTTTTCCTAGACCCAGTGCAGTCTGGGGAGACAAGAAGTGTGGCCACACAGAGCGGCTGTAGTTAAAGGAAGTGGCGGGGCTTCCCTGGCGGTCCAGTGGTTAGGACTCTGTGCTTCCACTGCAGGAGCGCAGGTTCGATCCCTGGTAGGGGAAGTAAGATCTGGCAAGCCCTGCGGGGCAGTCAAAAAAGAAGTGTAGAGTGCTCGCTTCGGCAGCACATATACTAAAATTGTAATGATACAGAGATCAGCATGGCCCGTGTGCAAGGATGACATGCAAATTTGTGAAGCATTCCATATTTTAAAAAAAAGGTAAAGAAAGAAAGAAAACAAAGAAAGAGGGAGTCCCCTGGCAGCAAGGTAGGAACCAACAAGCCACCAAGCCTGGAAGTGTGCTGGGGTCCCTCCCCTTCCCCAAGAAACTACTGCATAGAGCTGATCTAGGAAAATTCTTCAACCATCGGTTAATTTTAGAAAGTAGAAAAGAACAAAAATTACTCACCAAGAAGAAATTTTATCATGTGGTAGATGAAAAATGTAAGCAAAGATTCCATCATGGGTTTGAAATATATTAATGAAGCAAATCCCTCTATGAAAGAACATTGTAAAACAGAATGCAGAAATCCATGGTAGAAATGACCAGACAAGAGGAGGAACTGAAAACCAGGACATCATGACTAACGTAAAACACAGAAAACATAAAAAAAAAAAAAGTATCACAGAAACAAGACGGAAGAAATCGGAAGAAGCAAAAAAGATAATTAACCCCTAGGAGATGCAATTTTAAGCATATGCAAGATAGCAACGGAAAAAGCAAACAACATGAGATGGAAGTAAAGAGCCCCAAAAGATTAGAGAAAATAATACATACAGAAGACAGACTAAGACAAGTCAAAAAGAAAACAAATAAAATATACTTGGAGTTCTTAAAAAGGTTAACCAGTGGTGTGCTACGGTGCAGGGGGAGGGGTCAGGGGATGCTTGTGAGCGGTCTACCCCACGGGGAGGAGTATTTTATCCCTGACATGATGCTAATAAAAACATCTAGCTAACTTTCATTGGCTTTATTACAGTTTTTAAATATTCTATAGACAATATATCCTGTTTGCCTAATTTCCTAACACAAGTCAGACTGCTCCCAATGCCACCTCACCTTAGTACAACAAGAAGAAAAAACTTTATGTATGTTTTAAAATATAATTCAAAGAAGCTTTCCCAGGCAAAAAGAAGGCTTACACACACATATTGAAAGGACACAGCAGGAAAATTTGACCCAGAATGATTAACACTTCTTCTAGAAAACTCACTGGACTTTGAAGATAGAGAAAGAATTCTTTGGGAAGTCAAGCAGAAAGATTGTCACTTATAAGACGAACAAACTCAGACTTATGTCAGAGTTCTCCAGACCAAATGCCAGAAAACAGGACCAAAAAGTAAGCCAAGGTTTTATTTGCAGCCAAGGTTATAACAGTTTAGAGCATGTAAAGTCTCAGGGAATACTGATGGCATAAGCTTTCTTGAGAAAATTGAAGGATAAAGTTTAGCTAATAAAGAGATATCTGGGAGACTTTGGCAACATGACTAGTGGTGAACATTGAATATATTTAACTGCAAGATAAGTCCAAATCATAGGAGGGGATAATGTTGACAAACTAAAATGTAATTGTTTTATACCTTGACAGTGTATAAATGATTCAACCACCAAAAGTTAAAAATTAAGAAAGAGAGAAGGTGGGAGATATAATAAGCTCATTGATTGGCTTATTTGTAATATTTGAGATATAGATAGATAGATAGATAGATAGATATAAAACACTATCCAAAAGAAAGCTGGGGAAGCTATAATATACTAAACATAGGAGACTTCAGAAATATTATCAAGGATAAAGAGAAACATTATATAATGACAAAGGGTCAATTCACCAATAGTCTAAATGTCTTTTAACTCATGAGTGGATAAACAAACTAATACATCCATTCAACGGAATACTACATAGCCAGAAAAAGGAAAACACTATTGATTCATACATAGACATGTGTAAACGTTAAATGAATTTTGCTAAGAGACATATTGTATATATTGTAAGATCCATATATATGACATTTTGGAATTCTAAGGTTGGAAAACCGATCAGTCGTTGTCAGGGGTTGGATTACACAGGGGTTGACTACCAAGGGATAGCACAAGGGAATTTGGGGGATGAAAGAACTGTTCCATTTGATACTATGGTGGTGGAGATATATCTCTATGCACTCGTCAAAACCCATAGAGCTGTACACCACAAAGAATAAATTTTGCTCCTTGCAGAGTTTTAAAAACTCAACTAGAATATGAGAAACTCAAGATGAGATTATGACAAATGAATCTAACTGTATTACAAATTAATGAAGTAACAGAACTGAAGGGCATGGGGGAAAAAGATGATCTAAGGGCTTTTAAAGACAATGTTTTGACTGGACGGTAAAAATTAAAAAATTGGACACAAACATTACACCCTAGTTGGTAACTTTGTTTCTCATGGCACACGGGTTTGCAATTTTTTAACTACTTTATTTGTATACTAAGGTTCAACAAATAAGTAAATATATTATAGATTAAGAGAGCCAGGGTTCACATTGTCAAAGAAAGAAGTTACAAATAAATAAAGAGGATGCTAGGATGAACTCAGTGGTGCTGGATTTGAGGCAGATGTATCAGAATGAACTCATGTTTTTTCGTTTGTTTTTTAACACACAATATAGATTGTATCAGAATGAACTCATTTTTTTTTGTTTTTTAACACACAACATAGATAGATAGATAGTAGGAAAATAAATACAGATATGTATGCATGCATGATTAGTATACATGTGTATTTCCTAACTCTGTCCATTGACAGGACCCAGAGGCAGTGACCTCCTAATAGCAATGAGTACATTTAGCACCCAAGTTTTGGTTTCTAAATACTAGTCTCCCAAGACTCCTTGGGAAAATGGGTATTTCCAGAGCTAGGACAGGGGAAAATGCAATATGAGCTTGAAGCAGCTTGTGAACTAGAAAGTAAGAAAGTGGTTGGGGACTAAATAATGGCCCCCATGTATGCTCATGTCCTAAAATCCCCAAGATCCGTGACTGTTACCTTATATGGCAAAAGAGATTTTGCAAGGGTGATTAAATTCAAGGTTTTGAGATGGGGAGATTATCCTGGATTATCCAGGTGGGCCCAGGGTAATCACTCCGTCCCTATAAAAGACCAAGGAGGTCAGAATCTGAGAAGACAAAGTGATGTGACAGTGGAAGCAGAGATTGAGGTGATGTGGCCAATAGGCAGGTAATGGTGACAGCCTCTAAAGTTGGAAGAGGCAGAGCCCTAGAGCTCTCCAGAGGAAACAGTACTGCCCATACCTGGACTTTAGCCCGGTGAGACTGATTTTGAAGTACTGACCTCCAGAACTGTTACAGAGTAATTTTGTGTTGTTTTACGCCTAGTTTGTGGTAATTTGTTACAGCAGTAATAGGAAATGAATACAGAAGTACTCAAAACAAATTTTTTAAATGTTTTTAAAAAAGGATACGGCCTTCCTTGGGGTGTGGCAAAGGAGAGGGGATGAACTCAGTTATGACACATTTAAACTGTGAGAATAAGGGCTTTTCAAGGCAGAGGTAACTATGCCCTTAAGGTTTATTTGGTTAGTTTGAATGAGTTAATAATCTAAGTAGCCCACGGTCGTCATCATTTTTAAAAATGTCTCTGTCTTGGGGCTTCCCTGGTGTCGCAGTGGTTGGGAGTCCGCCTGCCGATGCAGGGGACGCAGGTTCATGCCTCGGTCCAGGAGGGTCCCGCGTGCCGTGGAGTGGCTCGGCCCGTGGGCCGTGCCCGCTGGGCCTGCACGTCCGGAGCCTGTGCTCCGCGGCGGGAGGGGCCCGTAGCGGTGAGGGGCCAGCGTACCGCAAAAAAAAAAAAAAAAAGTCTCTGTCTTCTCATGTATTATATATATATATATATATATATATATATATATATATATGTATGTTTGAACCAAAAACAACACGAACTTCCCTTAGGGTCTTTCTTTCTTTGTTCCCTCCCCCTTCCTTCCCTCCCTCCCTCCCTCCCTCCCCCACTTCCTTCCTTCTTTCTCTTGGTTGCTTAATTGATTAATCCAGTCATTTATTTTTACCTCTCACCTGATACTGGGGCCCCAAATCTACCGGTCATGACATCGAAGAAATTTCCGATGTTGGTTTCGACACTGCTGAAGATAATCCCACTGTTCTGATTGCTGAAGTGAGTTGCCAGAGAAGCCATGAACGCAATCTAAGCAAAGAGTTGGGGGTTAATTAAAAGGCAATTTATCTTAGAGAAATGAGGTTTCGATACAAGTAAGTTTATTTCACCAATATTTGTAACAGCAAGATTGGAAATAATTTAAACATTAATCTATAGAGAAAAATTAAATCATGGTGATTTCTAACATTTTTATGCTATGCATCATTAAAAGTATATATCAACAGTTCTGAGCATGTGTTTCAATGAACATTAGACTTTAAAGTGCTTTCTGAGATATTAAAGTTCTATTATCAAATAATACTGGAAAATTTGGATGAAATCTTCTACATATAGCTATTAAATGTCCATTAGCATATACTAAAGGACCCGAAAAGTCCTGCAGCCAACTTTTTAACTTTGTTTGCCCTGTGTTATTTTCTCCAAAAAGACACCTGTGATATTATGATTTATAATAAATATATATTTAGTATTCGCCCCCAGTTCTGGCAGAGAACTCCGAAAATCCTCAGAATTTCCTAAGTGTTGAGGGCAATCAAGGTGTCTTTTGTTATGTTAATCAGGTAACTTTGGAAAAACCCCTCGGGAGGGTCTGGTTGCCTGTGGAGCCAACCATGTGATTAGAGAGCTTTGAACTCTCAGTCCTCCCCCATCCCCCCTTTCTCAGCCCTGCACCCAAACCTCCGGAGAGGAGAGATAGGGGCTGGACAGAGAATCGGTCACCAATGGCTAGTGATTTAATTACTCTTGCCTAAGTAATGAAGCCTCCATAAAAACCCAAAGGACGGGGCTTCCCTGGTGGCGCAGTGATTGAGAGTCCACCGGCCGATGCAGGGGACACGGGTTCGTGCCCCCGTCCGGGAAAACCCCACGTGCCGCGGAGCTGCTGGGCCCGTGAGCCATAGCCGCTGAGCCTGTGCTCCGCGACGGGAGAGGCCGCGACAGTGAGAGGCCCGCGTACCGCGAAAAAAAAAAAAAACCCAAACGACAAGTTTTGGAGAGTTTCCCAGTTGGTGAACGCATGGAGATTTGGGGAGAGTGGCGCTCTCAGATAGGGAGTGTAAGTTCAGTCCCCTTTCCCCACACCTTGCCCTATGCATCTCTTCCATCTGGTTGCTCTTCAGTTACATCCTTTTACAATAAATTGGTGAGCAAATAAGTAAAATGTTTCTCTGAGTGCTTCTGTGAGCCGCTTTAGTAAAAAACACACCCGCGGGGGGGGGGGGGGGTCATTGGAAGACAGAAGCACAGGTGATAACCTGAACTTGGATTGGCGCCTAAAGTAGGGGAAGGGTGGGGCAGTCTCGAAAGACTGATCTCTTAAGTGTCAGAAGTGAGCTGAATTGTAGGACATCCAGCTGGTATCCGAGAATTGCTTGGTGGTATGGGAATAGCCCACACTTGGAAATTGTACCACCATTGGAGAGTCACATTTGAAAGTCAATGCCAGTCCCCTGTCCAAATGAGTCATTGAAACTGAGTGCGAATTAGATCAATAAATTCTTTAACTTGCTGGGATTATCCATCTTGAATGAATGGAAGTTTTAAGGGAGAGGGGCGAGAGAGGAGAGAGCAAATAATTTGAAGTTCTGGAAGACTTGGGGTGTGGACAGGGAGGCAGGCCTGGGAGAATCAACACAGAAAGGATTGGGGCAGTCAGAGGACAGTGTGAGGGCACTGGACACAGAAGGATGAAGAAGGGGTGACACCAGAGGACGAGATTTAGAAATGGGGATGAAGGGGCTGGAAGTCACTCTCCATTACAATCTGCCCAGGACCAATCTTGTCTCCACTTTAATGCCTCCTTCAAAACATGTGAAAGTAGTTCTCCCTAATGACCATAATGTGTTTTTAGGGTTAAAAAGCTGATGGAGCAAATGTAATAATTGCCCAGGTGTTCTCCATTAAACTGGCTACTACAAGGCCCCTTAACTAGCATATAACAATTCACAGATTTGGGTTAGTTTCTAGCTTTGAGAACCATCCATCTTATTAGGTACCTATAACTTGGGCGATGGCATCTGTCTCCTTTTCTTTGTAAATTTATACTGGCACACAGACCGCAGGTTGCTAAAATTATTAAACAGCAGTCATTAAAAAGTTACGAAAAAAAAAGACGTTACGAAACCAAAAAAGCAGGTTGAGTAACACACAGGATCTCTTAGCTTACCCTTAAAATAACTTGATTCCCCCCAAAATGATGGAATTTATCCAAGGTCAAACAACTACCACATGTGCCCAAATAAAGGGTAAAGTTTTCCCCCACTGATATTTCAGATAGAGTGGCTGTACCTTATAGTTCTTTGAAAGCTTCTCGTGTTATAGTATTGTCCATGAAAATATTAATCAGTAATCAAAGACAGAAATTGGAAAATTTTATTAGAGCCAACCTGAGGATTATAACCCAGGGGACCGTCTTTCAGAAAGCTCTGAGGACCGTTCTGAAGAGGTGTGGGGATAGGGGGAGAAACCAGTATATATATGTGATTTTGGTGAAGGGGTCCATACAATCAAGCACACATCTTGGTAGAAGGTTACTGCTATTCACAAGGAACAGATATCTTAGTTAATGGTTTCAGTGCTTTTCTAAGTAATGGTAAGATGCAAGAAACTGTGTTCATAAATTTCTCTCCTGAAAAGATCTAACTGTCTGAGGGCCAGTGCTGTCAGTTTTCCCAGAGCACAGAATGCCTCATCCTGATCTCCGCCCTGATTTCCTTTCACAGTGTATTGTAGGTCAACGACTGCCGTGGTAATGACTTGGTTCTTATAGAACTGGATGGTGGGCAACATTCTTTATTTTACCAATCCTCTCCCTTTTGTTCTTAATTTCAACCAAGGTTTGGGGAGCATTTTGTGACCAATTTGTCCCACTGCACTAGGAATGCTCATTCCCAGGTCAGGAGAGGATTTCCTTGACAGGACACTCCATGTGCTATTACTGGACCAGACCCAGTTAACAGTAGCCAAAAGCCTCTGGACCACCTGTCTTACTAGTCTGTTACGGTCCAGGAAATGGCTCCCTCTTGTTGCTTCTTCCCATATTCCGAGTTACACTATTACAATCATTGATCTTATAGGACTATATATTTGGTCAATTGTTTCAAGTCCCCAAGTCATCATTATTTTTATTGGAAGCTCAGTCACACACTGGTAATGAAAGAAAAAATAATCTTAAAATAGGCAGAACACAAGTAATATAGCTAGTAACATTAATAAGGTTGTAAGTAAGTAATGTTATCTTCTAAGGAGTTACACATCTGGTGTCAAAAGAAGAGAAATTGATCTTTATGGTGGAGCAGTTATTTCTGCCACTGGGGAGGTCTGGTTAATGCAGATGCACAATGCACACTAGAGGGGAGGGAGGAGGCCAAAATGGGCAGAGAAAAAATTATGTTTCAATTTTTCTTGTCTTGCCTTAAAATATGAATTTGATTCCATCAGTATGTTCTCTCAGTTACTTAATTTTAATCACTAGTTACTGTTTCAGGAACACATACCAGCCAGAAACAAGCAATAAAAAAATGCTAGCTTTCGATGTTGATAGGAGTCCCTTGGAAGAATCCATCTTAAAAATATTAGCCAAATAAATAAATAAATAACCCAGACTTAGTAATTTTCTTGGTGTGACCTAACCTCACATCTCACATTTGCAAGTTTTAGGTGTTACCGACAACAAGAATTTTGAAGATGACTTAAAAGAGAAATAAAGAACAGATAAATGGGGGACTTCCCTGGTGGCTCAGTGGTTAGGAATCTGCATGCCAGTGCAGGGGACATGGCTTCAATCCCTGGTCCGGGAAGATCCCACATGCCACAGAGCAACAAAGCCCATGCACCATAACTACTGAGCCTGTGCTCTAGAGCTTGAGAGCCACGACTACTGAAGCCCGTGCACCTAGAGCCTGTGCTCCACAACAAGAGAAGCCTGCGCAACGCAGCAAAGAGTAGCCCCCGCTCTCTGCAACTAGAGAAAGCCCACGCACAGCAATGAAGACCCAACGCAGCCAAAAATAAATAAATAAATTTATATATAAAAGAAGAACAGATAAATGGGTAGTGGGCTTGAGATAAAACGTCCAATGATAGCCTCATAAATGAATTAAAAAAACTTTAAGCTGAAATGAATATGGTCTCATGACTCAAAATAAAATGCCTCCAGTAATAAAGAAGATACTGATGAGAAAACCTTTAATAAAAATTAATGCCACGAAATCTGATTTGATAGATTTACTTGTATATTAATATTCATATATGTAATTTAAATATGCAAATGTAACAAAATTGATAAATAAATGGAATGGTCAAATATCTACTTAATAATATTTTGTCCATCTAAAAGTTTACATATTCGAGTCGCCAAAAACCTTTTTATTGAACATGTCTCCTCATTTGGAAAATGGAGATTAGCTGATGTTCAGGGTTGCTTTGTAATTTGGTCTAATGAGGGTGTTGAATTTCACCCTTCGTACATTTCTCCCTAAGAATGATTTCAAAGCACTTTGACGGCATAGGTCTTCTGCAAACACCCTGTGGTGGAGATGAGCAAATTGAGACAGGTTTACTCAACACTGAGGATGAAGAAGCACTCAAGCCTTCTGATTCCTGGACCCTGAGTGAGGGTCATCTGGAGACACGCCAAGACGATTTACCTGCAGTTCTGGTGGGATCCCCGGATAGCCCTTCTCTCCTTTGGGGCCATGCTGCCCACGCTCCCCTCGTGGCCCCAGATCACCTTTGTCTCCTTTCTCTCCTTTGGCCCCTTCGTGGCCAGTGGCTCCGTTATTGCCATTGTTTCCATGGTTTCCTTAAACAACCAGACATCATCACGTGAGAAAGCCCGGTCACTCATACTCACCATCTATTTTTATACAAATGCAGCTCCTTTCTTCAAAAATGACAAACTTAATTGTAAAAGGGGACCATCTGAAACAAGCTCAAACACAGCCATGGTGACGTCATCAGATGGGATCGCTTTTAAATGGGACACTGAAAACAGCCTTAGATACTCTTAAGGCTCCAGGCTCCAAAGCCTGTTTTACCTATAAAGCAAGACTTGGATGAAAAATTGCATAGAGACATTATAAAGCATCCTTTATAAGAGCAAAGATTTGAAACCACCTAAATGTCCATCAATAGTGAAAGGGCTAAATTAAAAAATGGTACATCCCAGTAAATGATGTTATATAGTCACAAAAAAAGAATGCTGAAGAAAAATATTTAATAGCATGATCTTTTTAGATAAAAAAGGTTATGAATCAATCAATAGTGATAGCATGATACTATGTATATGTGTATATATATGTATATAATACAAAATATGTACATGTTTTATCCAAAGGGGAAAAAGACTAGAACAAATTACATAAAAATATTTTGCAGTGGTTATTTTTTTCTAAGTGGATGAAGCACAAATGATTTTTGTGTCATTCTATACACTTTTCTGCATTTTTGAAATTTTCTACAAAGAACACGAACTACTTTTATAACTGGAGGAAAAGTAAAATCATTGATAAAAAACTTTAACAGTAATCTCGAAAGCAAGACTTGGATAATGATTTCAACTCTTCACTTTACTTTGCTAAGAGATAATTTCTATACCTCTCCCTTTATTTTTATATTTGTTGAATTCCAGGCCCTTTTGTTGTTTATTTTGTGTGCCACCTTTGGTCGGGTTTCATACCGAGCTTGCAATTCTTCCAGATTAATGAACTTTGACTGGGTTTACAAGTTAATGTGCTAATGACAAAACTGTTCCTGATGGGAAGCACGTAGCCAAGGCCAGCCTGTCCTGTGACCTCAGAAGAGTTTAGACCTAAGAAGATTTTAGAGGGATCTGAAAGTCCCCTACCCATAATCACTGTATGGGTTGCCTGCTGCCCTAGATGTTCAGTGACATAGATTCCAAGCTACTGATCATAAAGTCTAACAGAGCACTTTCTCATTCTAAATTTGGTTTCATTTGACAAGCCACTCAAAAGTATTAAGAAAAATTAAACCTTATTTGTTAAATATTAACATCAATGGGAGTAAGTCAGAGAAGAGCAAGCAGACATTTGCCAAACCCAGAGAAAATGTTCTATCCCCAGGAATTGACCTGGAGACAAGAAAGTCAGTTAAACGCCCAGATAGGTTTGGAGGTCCTGGGACAGAGGGCACCTGGGCTGCCCTTTCCTTGGCTGACCCAGGAGACTAGCAAGTTCCCCTAATGATCCATGTCTGGGGTGCCACTCAGTAGTAGAGATGGCTGAACAGTGGGTCTAGAGGGGCCCAGTGTAGCTCTACAGCATGCCCCATGCCACCATATGGTGCTGGAGCCCAAAAATGTCCCCAAGAGGCCAAGAGAGGCATGAAGGTCAACTGAGAGACAGCTGAGCATGGAAGGGCCTGGGGGTTAAGGGAAGAAAAACTCAGCTAGACCTAGAATCAGACAGAAAGATGTGTAGCTCAGTAAAAGAGACTGTGAAGATGACTAAAACCCAGACCAGCAAGCTCTCCTCCGCAATCTCACTTCCCAAATCCCCTGAAGCCTAGATCTAGTGCGCTGTATGGAGCACACGGTGGCAGAAACACTGGAACAGGGGTATAAACCTGTTCAGCTCCAGTGGTTCCAGACTCCACGCTGGGGAAGGGCCTCCTGGCCGGTAAACTGGGGCCCCGGCATGCCTAATGCCTATGGGATTCTGCAAGCAGTATGGGTAATAAATGCTATAGTTTATACAGTTCCACCTCATTAACTCAATGAGCCCAGTTCCCCACCCAACTCTCTTTTGGATTTTCCATGCATAAGCTTTGGATCACACACAAGTGATCCCAACTCACTGAGCTTCACCCCTGGCTCCTGTTTAGGCACAGTCTGCAATTAGACTGGAAACAACGCATCTCTCTCATCCTTACCTGGAATGCCAGGGAGACCAGGAGGTCCAGGGGGGCCTTGGTAGCCTCGAAAGCTGTAGTCTCCATGACAACACTTGCTGCAGTCTGGGGGCAGTCCTCCAGTTTGTGGAGACTTTGAAAAAATACAAAGAGAAGCTTCAGAGCAAGGTACATATGAGTAATTAGAACTTTTGAGCTTCCTCTGGCCACAGCCCCTAGGTAAGCTTAATTCCAAACAGCCTATGACAACATCAGAAAAGAAAGTGTGGGGTGACTTATGTCATCTTATGTCAATGGCAAAGGAGTCAGGGAGTAGCTAAGGTGAGGTGATGATCAGAAAGGCAAAGGAAACAGGAGAGTCACTAGAAGAACAGCCTCTTTGGAAAGTGGGAGTGGGAGTGGAGGATTGGGGCTGTGTTTCTGGGAAGCATGTTCCTGCTGCTACAGGAAAAGAGAAAGCTCCTCAGAAAGAGAAAGCTCCCTTTCTCTTCCAACTGCCAGTAGTCTCAGATGTAGCTAGATTGAGTAGATGACCCTCAAATGATAAAAATTACCAACCTCAAATATAGCTATTAAGTCTATCTATATTCATGATACTGGGTAAAGAGTTCTTAGAAATTCTGAATTGTATCACAACACACATAAATTGCCTTAGAAAATAAAGGAAAGAAAGTATTCATTAGTCCAATAAATTCTTATTAATTATCTACATCCTGAAACAACTTTAACTCCCTTTTTTTAAACTTCTACCTCTAACATGCTGTTCTGTTTCATATTCCACTTGAAAATTTAAAGTGATTAACGCATTATTTGAACCGAGATTTCATGAGTACTTAATGGATATTAAATGTATTCAAATATGACACTAAGTTCAACGCTTCTTTATTCAATGATAAATTTCTAAAAAAAACTTGTGCTTACTGTCAAGGAGCTAGAGATTTGGCAGAAGTTGAATGGCAGAAGAGTTAGAGTTGCTCATAAAATTTGGAGTCTCTTCTAAATTGGCAACTTTTTTAAAAAAATTATTTATTTATTTACTTTTGGCTGCGTTGGGTCTTCGTTGCTGTGCACGGGCTTTCTCTAGTTGCGGCGAGCGGGGGCTGCTCTTCCTTGCGGTGCACGGGCTTCTTATTGCGATGGCTTCTCTTGTTGTGGAGCACGGGCTCTAGGAGTGCAGGCTTCAGTAGTTGTGGCTCACGGGCTTAGTTGCTCCCGGGGCATGTGGGATCTTCCCAGACCAGGGATCGAACCCATGTCCCCTGCATTGGCAGGTGGATTCTTAACCACTGTGCCACCAGGGAAGTCCCTTAAACTGGCAACTTTTAATGATGGCTTACAAAAGACTCATGGAAACTTTCCTCGACACCAATTATAATTCAAAAGTTTTTTGAAAATAGCTTACTGTTGCTAAGGGATTCACTTTTTAAAAGGAAAGGATGGGGTGAGAGAGGAAGGACGAGAGAGAGAGAGAGAGAGAGAGAGAGAGAGAGAGAGAAAGGGAGAAAGGGAGGGAGGAAGAAGTCATTCAAAATTGAAGTTTTCTCTATCATTAGAAATCCAAGCAGAACAATGCATCAAGGCTTCACACAGCTGCACCTCTAGACTTTTATAGCACAGGAAACTCTACTCAATACTCTGTCATGGCCATGGAAAGGAATCTAAAAAAGAGTGGATATATGTATATGTACAACTGATTCACTTTGCTGTACAGCAGAAACGAACACAACATTGTAAATCAACTATACTCCAATAAAAATTGTTTAAACAATTAAATTAAATTAAAACAAACAAGACAAAACATAAGCTTGGGCTTTTTTCCTTACTCTCATTCCTTTTTCCTACAGGTTCCCACCTATAGCTATTAAGAAAAAAATGCAGAACAGCATCTGTAGTCCAAGCAATTGCCTGCAATGGCTCAGAGCTCAATCTCAAGTTTTCAGTAGCTAGGATTTGGAGCAATCTCTTAGTCCAGTCTTCTGTCCCCCAGACCCAACCTTGGACAGGTATGGGAGTCTATGAAAACCTTTTATAAAACTGGCAGAGGAAAAGAAAATCAGTGAAAGCAATTGGTCTGAGACAGGGGATTTCAGACACTTGGAAAGTCAGACACCACAGCACCACCCCACCTTCTAATCCAAAGATGCAATCTGAGAAGTAGGTATTCTGCAATTTCCTGGTATGATTTTGCTAATATGAAATACAGATGTTTAAGCTCCAAGAAATCCTAAGCCCTGCCAGTAAGAAATTTTAGGGAAGGAGAAGGGTGGGGAGGGAGGGATAGTACTGAAGTGGAACCATTTGTTTAAAAATAGAATTGAAAAACTGAGATGCTAAGAATGTCAGAAAAAGAAATGGACTGGAGCCAGAACTCCCATCATAGGTCTGTGTGACTTTTGTGAAGTCATTTTCTCCCAGGCATCATTTTTCTTGTCCACTAAATTAGAGGATAGGGTAAAGATGGTCATGATTTTTCTTTCCAGCTCTATAATGCAAACAAGGATACTGAAGTCTTTTCCAAAGCCTCAGATGGTGACTTAGAAAGATGTTGTTTTGAAATCTAGTGTCTGGGTATGAGGCGTTAGCGCCAGGAGATGGGGTGCATACCCAACCACTTTGAGAGCGTAGCGCTGCCGCCAAAACAGGGAGAGACTTCTGGTCATTAAGTGGGCCCCTTCCTGAGAACTGTCCTGTGACATTTCACAACATGGTGCTCCCTCTGGCCTGGTCTCTCAGAGTTCAGTCAAATGGAACCATGTTCATGAGCCTTAGAACAAGTTGGACAGGATGTGTTCATTGAGAAGTTTTCTCCCAGGTAAGGGAAAATGACATTCTAGGTAGTTCTCTATATTACCCTCTCAAGTTTATCAACTCCTTTCCCCAAATTTGGTCAAATTTGAACACCAAGTTCATGCAAATGGACAGCATGGGAGGAAGAAAGTCCCTAAGACAAGTTCCATCCATTTTGTAGATGGAGGCCTAGCGGCAGCTACTGAGAATGAAGCTCTACTATTGGGAAATGACTTCAGGAAAGACAGTCCACAGCTCCTTCCTTAACTTAAGGAAGAGGGAAGAGAAAGAAGGTGAAGGGAAGTGGAAGAGGGAGAGATAGGTGTCCAGGAAGAGAGGGGAGCTGGATAAAGGTGAACAATAAAGAGCTACAGAGAAGAAAATGTCAGGAAAAGAGAGTGCAGGTCCGCTGAGCCCACCTCTACACATCTCCGCACAAACGCTATGGCCAGAGTCATCTTTCTAGAACACACACTTGATCACCTCACTGCCCTGCTATGCACAAACAAACAAACAAACCTTTGCTGGCAAAATAAGGTCTAAGCTTCTTCACCGGCCAACGGAATCCATCAGGCGGCACTAAAATCACTGGTGTCTTCCTCCTATGGCCCAGCTCTCCAGCCACACCCACTCCTCAAGCCCCTCTCAAGGCTCTTGCTGTGGCGCATGCTTGTTTATTTCATTTTTTCCGGGGATGCCCACGCTTTCGTCTCATCATTTGAGATCTGACTCAGCGGCCACCACCATTCTGACCCTTTTCCCCCAATAGTCTTTTGTGTCATTACTTTGTTTATCACATGGTACTTAATTACCTGTTGATTTATCCCCACTAGAGCCCTTCAGCATTGTTCAGAGAGAGAAGCTTGAGTGTATTTATCCCCATCCTAAAGCATGACTCATAGTAGAAGCACACAGATTAATCGGTAAAGGGATGAATGAGGGAAAAGGAGGATTAAAAGAAGCAGTGTGGGAAGTGAGGCAAGAGGGAGGAACACAGAGCAGTCCTAAATTCTATGTGGGTCTCCATATCCACTGGCAGAGAGTTCTACTGAAACCTCTAGAATACCAGTGGCTAAATCTCCTCACTACCTCCTGTTGGGGTCTGGTTTGGAAATACTTCAGGAACCCAAGGGAGTTGGAAAGCCCCCCGGCTTAAAAAAAAGAAAACCTAGAAAGTGGCTTCTTTTCCCCCTCATCTGATTTCAACATGCTAGATGCCTAGAGGCACTAGAAGGTGGGGTGGAATAGAAATGTAATTTGGATTTCAGTGGCCTGTCAAGAATTGATGACCGATGACAGCCTACATCTGCCTTCTGCTGCCTCTGGGGGCTCACATGCCATGACCAGGAAGGATCCAGCAAAGAGCCCATTTTTTGAAGTAGAAAGTCCAGATCAAGGCTTGGACAAAAGCACAAATATCTTTACCACTGAGAAAAACACAAATGAGTATTATTCATTCTTCAGCCAAAAGATTGTCAGATGAAAGAACAATCTCTAAAAGTGGCTTTCAAAAAGCAGGATTGGATTTAGAGGTTATCATTTCTTCCACGGCTCTGCAAAGGAGCAATTTTTTCTTGACCAGGCCCCACAGAATAGTTAGGGCAACTGCATTTGTGGTCAAGTTAGAAGTCCCAGGTTTGTCCCAGATCTACAGATGCTTCTGCCTGTGATCTTGGTCTGATCACACTACCAGTCTCAACGCAAACTTTCAATCTGTGGTCAGAGGGGTTTAGATTTCAGCTGCATGGACTTTGTCAGGGCCTATTCAACGCAGAGAAGCAGTCAATTCTTGTAGTAAAACTTATTTGTTCAAAGATCATATAATTCAGGGGGCTTCCCTGGTGGCGCAGTGGTTAAGAATCCTCCTGCCAATGCAGGGGACACGGGTTTGAGCCCTGGTCCGGGAAGATCCCACATGTCGCAGAGCAACTAAGCCTGTGTGCCACAACTACTGAGTCCGCGCGCCTAGAGCTGGTGCTCCGCAACAAGAGAAGCCACTGCAATGAGAAGCCTGCGCACCACAACAAAGAGTAGCCCCCGCTCGCCATAACTAGAGAAAGCCCGCGCGCAGCAACAAACACCCAATGCAGACAAAAATAAATAAATTTTTTAAAGTGTTTAATAATAATAAAAAAAAGATCGTATAATTCAGAATAACTCTCCTTGCCCCTCATCTGATTTCAACGTGCTTGACACCTAGAAGGCAAATCAAAATCTGCTTCTTCCTTATGTTGCACACTTGAAGCTAGCATGATGTTATACGTCAATTGTACCACACTTAAAATGCTTCAATTTACAAAACTAATAAAGGCATACTTGAAAACCTGTTTCTTCCTGTTCTTAATGTTTTCGATTAAAATGAGTTTCATCAATTTGCCATTCACTACACTGAAACCTTAACTCACTCCCGTACTACCCTGGAAGAGTTAAAGATGTTCCCTTAGATGCTGTGCTTGTATTCAGCATCTTACACAAGTCCTCTGTGATTATCGGGCATTAAATCATACAACAGAATCAAGTCTGCATTTTAAACACAGTGCGTTTTTGTTTTAACTCTTTGGTCCTTTTTTAAACAGAGTGAACGTAGAGACGTAGCAACCTAGAGGGCTGTAAATCAAATAACCAAGCCTGGCATGAAACGTCACAGTAAGCTCGCAAATCAAGTGAAAAACTCAAAGGGCAGCTTCTCTCTGCTGGGAAGAATTAACGAAGTCCAACTTACGATCTGAAGATGATTATCTCTAATGATCTATCTGCAAAGGTCAGCTCTCCTCCTTTCCGCACCAACAGAGCAAGAAAGAAACCAAATCACAGCAGAGCAGGGCTGGCTGTCCCTGTTCCCCTTTCTGATGGGACAGCTGTGGCCTCTCTTTATCTCAGTCCATCAGTGCTACCTCTGCTGATTTTCTAACACAGACCAGCCTCGTCCCCAGTATCCCACAGCAACCCAGAGAGAGAGACCCACAAGCAGCTCAGCCAACTTCTGGAAAGCATCGATCCTAAGAATCATAGCTGAAAAAAGAGCAAAAACAACAAAACTCATTAAGCTTTGACAGTAATCCTTAAAAGAGAATTCCGAGTACCTGGCCCCAGAATGGGGTGATCTGGGCTAGGTCATCTACCTCGGGGTGCGGTAGCTCATCTGGTCTCAGGGGTTTTAGGTCTGTAGAAGTGTTATTATCCACAGTCCCAGTTTTAGGATGGCTCCGCTCTCTCACTTTCTCCCTCTTGGAGCCGCTACGGCCAGTCTGCTGATGGCTTTGCACTATTCTCGCCACCACTTTATTAGCTCTTCCGCTCACCTCCATGTATTCATCTTGACACAGGCAAAAAGGGAGGAAAAGCAAAGCCAGCAGGTGCCAACAGACGAGCTGCCTTCCGAGCATGATTCTCAACAGAGCCACAGAGCCTCCCGGAGAAGACGGCTAGGGCTCCAGCTGCCGTGGTCTCTTCGGGCAAGTGCCAGGGCTGCAGATGAGACATGCAGCCGGCCAGGCGGTTTTATACTTCGGTATGTAATAAATAAGGCTGCAGGCCAGAGGAAGAGCGGTGCTCCTCCGCGGGCGGAACGGCCCCCATTCATTACTTTCCCACATCACAGGCAAAACGATTTGTGTGACAGCTCCCAGTTGGTGGGTTCATAAATGTCACACCTTGGCACGTTTTTTGTTAAAGTGTGAAGAAAACATGCACAACCAGCTGGAAACAGGCAGCATGTGTCCAGTGGTTTGCTTTTGCTATTAGACATGGAAAGGCTGTGCCTTTGCAGTCTAAGATGCCTTTTGGAAAAACCTCCTCCCGGGCTTGCCAGGAAATTCGGGCTTAACTGCATCAATTCCGTCTGAAATGACAGTGGGAACGTGTTCAGGGCCATCAAGAGAGCTCTGCACTCTCGTTGCACAGCTAATATTTCCCCACTGTAGCCGCCCCTTAAAGGTACTCATTTCTGCCTCTGGCACTGGCAACAGAAGGCAGTTGGGTGACTCCAGAACACTGAGCTGGATTCAGGGGCAGAGTCTCTGGGTTTAACAAAAGCATTTCCCCATCCTAGGTTTCATTTCCTTTTCCCTGGAGTTCCCAAAAGCCAAAGTTAGATCAAAGTGGACCAAGTCGCTTTATTGCCAGATGAAGATACGACATCCTGCTTCATATTAAAAGAAGGTTGTCTGTCTCTGGCTCCTCTTCCTTCTCACATATTCTTGTTTAAATTGAAGAAATCGAGGGACTTCCCTGGTGGCGCAGTGGTTAAGAATCCGCCTGCCGATGCAGGGGACATGGGTTCGAGCCCTGACCCGGGGAGATCCCACATGCCGCGGAGCAACTAAGCCCGTGCGCCGCAACTACTGAAGCCTGCGCTCTAGAGTCTGTGAGCCACAACTACTGAAGCCCATATGCCACAACTACTGAAGCCCCTGCGCCTAGAGCCCGTGCTCCGCAATAAGAGAAGCCACCGAAGTGAGAAGACGGTGCACTGCAACAGAGTAGCCCCTGCTCCCCGCAGCTAGAGAAGGCCTGTTGCACAGCAATGAAGACCCAACACAGCCAAAAATAAATAAATAAATTTATATATAAAAGAAGATGAATCAGGTTTTTAAAAACATAAATGAAAAATAAACAAAATTAAAGAATTGGAAAGCATCAAACCAAACAACCTCCCTCAAGTAGATCAGGATGGAGAGAACTATCATTTCCTTTAGGATACTTGCTACATTTTTAAGAATTCAGCCAAAGAGAAAATGGACATTCCTAACCTCTTAGTGACAATAAAGAGAACTTATATAGCTTTGCCATTAAAAATTGCTTCTAGGGCTTTCCTGGTGGTGCAGTGGTTGAGAGTCCGCCTGCCGATGCAGGGGACACGGGTTCGTGCCCCGGTCCGGGAAGATCCCACGTGCCGCGGAGCGGCTGTGCTGTGAGCCATGGCCGCTGAGCCTGCGCGTCTGGAGCCTGTGCTCCGCAACAGGAGAGGCCACAACAGTGAGAGGCCCGCGTACCGAAAACAAAAAAAATTGCTTCTATTTCCATATCATTTTATTTAATATTACTCACTCACTCACATAACAAAAAGTCACTGCCCTCCTCCATGAGGACTGAAGACACCCTGGGACTTAAAAGGCAGTGAGTGACCAGTATGTGATGTTCAGAGGACAAGGGTGGCAGTGTAAGAAGCCGAAGCTGGGGAAGCCAGGTCTGATGCTGAGGCGACAGAGCAGCTGGAGAGAGGAAAGTGGCGAGAGGGCTGCTTACAGCTGCTGTCCTCACTCAGCAAAGGGGCCTGGGAACCAAAAGCCAACTCTCGATGCAAGATTCATCACTCCTGCCACTGCCAGAGCAGCTGCTTCTAGACCTCACACTTATACATAAAAGGGCTTGGTGTGGAGGATGGCGTGAGAGAGTGATTCAGTAAAATAAAAGCTCTTCAGTTCACAAATGCAGGGGCCTTGGCAGTCATGCTTCTTCTAAGCAGGCAGCTCCCACCTAGCGGGGTGTAAGAAGCTCTGCCATCCCCATTTCATAAGTCTACCCTTAGGTGTCCAGGATTTCCCCACTGGAGGATATTTTGAGTTCTGTGATGAGCACTCTTGGGCAGATATCCCTGAGGAAGGTAGCGCGTCAAGTGGTTATCTGGCATCAATTCTTACTGAGGATTTTTGAACAGACCTGGGGCAGGAGACTGGGGAAGGACAGCTCTTAGGTATCCTTGGACAAGCAAGTGGATGGGATATTGCTGTGGCTCCATCATCAGGGAAGCCTGGAAAATATTTTACAGGGAGACCACAAAGCAAGAAACGTCTCTGAAATCTAGGTCACCTCATTCACGAGTTTTCTAAGAGCTGTTTCTGGCTGCTCCCACCACCTGGACCATATGGATAAGTAACTCCAAGTCAACCTCTTCTGACTTTCAACTGTATTGAGAATTTCCATTGGTATTTTCCACCCTTTCATTTATTCTAGTGGTTCCCAATCCTGTCTGCATAATAAAATAAACCAGGGAGCTTCTAAATATATCAGTGCCTGGATCCCATCCGAGACCAATTGATTCGGAATCGCTAGTGGGGCCTGGGCACTAAGAGTTTTTGAAAAGTCCCTGAGATGATTCTAATGTGCAGTCAGGGTTAGGAATCACTGACCCATCCTTTCCTTGACTCAGTAGGAATAAATAACAATAATATCTCTCATTTGTTGAGCACTTACCATACATCAGCCAAGTACTTCTTTGCTTTAGCTCACTGACTTCTCTCAGTAAACCTATTGTTCTCGTCTTATAGATGAGGAAACAGAGGCTCAGAGAAGTAAAGTAACTTGCCTGGTATTGAACCACTGGAAAGGGGTTATTAGGATATGACTCCATCTGTCTTCCTCCCTTCTACAGCAAAGCAGAGGACCAATGTCAGGCTGACTGCAGAGAGAAGGCCAGCTCCGTAGTGGCCAGGACAAGAATCTGGAGTCCGAGTGTTATGTGTTGAATTGTAGCATCCAAAAAGGCATTGAGGTCCTAACCCCCAGTACCTATGAGTATGACTTTATTTGGAAGTAGTCTTTTCAGACAATCAAGTTAAGATGAGGTCATTAGGGTAGACCCTACCCAGATATGACTCTGTCCTTATAAAGGGGAAAAAACTAGACATAGAAACAGACACGGACACAGGGAGAACACCATGTAAAGATGAAAGCAGAGATGGGGTGATGCACTTAAAACTCAAGGAATGCCAAAGATTGCCAGCCAACCACCAGAAGCTAGAAGAAGGGCATGGAAGAGATTCTCCCACACAGCCCTCAGAAGGAACCAACCCAGCTGACACCTCCATCTCAGACTTCTAGCCTCAAGAACTATGAGATGATAAATTCCTTTGTTTAAGCCACCCAATCTGTGGTAGTTTGTTGCGGCAGCCCCAGCAAACTAATACAGAAAGCATGTAAGGAAGCCTTAAAAAACTCCAGACCTCATCATCTTACAGACAGGGAGATGGCAGTCTAAAAAGATCTAGCCAATTGCTCAAGTTCGTGGACAGAGAATAGCAAACCTGGCCCAGAGAAGAGTCCCCAGCCCCTTAGTTTGTGTTCTCTGGCACCTTCCCATGAAATGCATTTTAAACCTTGGCTTATTATGAAATCTTACTTGGGGTTATCATTTCATAATGCTCTGGCAATGTCCCTTGCTCAAAGATGTGAATAAGCTCTGTGGAGACCTAAATGGGAAGGAAACCCAAAAAAGAGAGGATATATGTATATGTATAGCTGATTCACTTTGCTGTACAGCAGAAATTAACACAACATTGTAAAGCAACTATACTCCAATAAAACTTAATTAAAAAAAAGATTCTCTCTTGAACTTTTGAAAAAAAAAGATATGAATCAGAGTTGGGCATAATTTCTTTTCTTTTTTTGGTAGGGGGAATGTGGGCATAATTTCTTAATTGTATGCTGAGGGTTGAGAACATCTACACCCAGCAACTCATGGAAGGTACCAGAGCCCCAGTTCTGCACAGCTGTCTCTGGCTATGAGAGCCCATAGCAAATGACTGGGGACATCTGGCTGCTATGATGTACCGGGGCTGCCACTGAATCTTGCTTGCTTGATTGGCTCCTAGGCTACAGCCAGGACGTTGGCACAGATACCACCATGAACCACAGAGGTGCAGACACTGCGAATACGTGTGAAAAGTCAGCTCCGTAGATCTGCTCTGCAAGTGAGAGGCAAATATTTGTTTAGCTTCACAGAGGAGGCTGTTATGTGATGTGTAGGTGCCCTGTGGCCTCCCCCAGGGCACTCCACTGTGCCCTTGGTCAAAAGGAGATCAGCTCTGGTGTGGCAATGGACAGTCAAGAACTGTGTGCGACAGAACGTGTCTTTATATCAGTGCCAACTGAAAGGGTAGCTGAGGAAGGCATGTGTTTGCGTCATTTCCAGAAAGGAGCAGCTGGAGTGTGACCCACCTCTCTCCTACCCCTTCCCACGGAAAAATTCTCCCAACACTCAGCTCAGCGAATTCTGAGATTCTAAACTCAAGGCTTGATCCCTTTCATTGAAACTTAAAATGCAAATAAAATTAAAATACTTCCTGAGATGAGATAGTTTAGCTATACTGGTCATTTACATCTTGATGTTGAAGACCTTTTCAGATTATTTTCAGAGAAGTTTTGTTTGAGAAGAATTTACAAAAAGGAATATAGTGCGTTCAGAAAGGGTCCATTGTCTCTCAATATTAGCTGGTGCTGGGACTTCCCTGGTGGTCCAGTGGTTGAGAATCCACCTTCCAATGCAGGGGACGCAGGTTTGATCCCTGGTCGGGGAACTAGGATCCCACATGCCACAGGGCAACTAAGCCTGTGTGCTCTAGAGTCCACACACCACAACTAGAGAGCCCTCGAGCTGCAACTACTGAGCCCACGCTCTCTGGAGCCTGCGCACCACAGTTAGAGAGAGGCCCACAGGCCACAAAGAGGAGCCTGCGTACCGCAACAAAAGATCCTTCATGCTGCAACTAAGACCAGGTGCAGCCAAAATATATAGATAGATAGATAGATA